TTTGACCATAAGCAGCTTTTACCTCTTATTCAAGCAATGTATTTCACTTAGGAAGTATATTTAAAAATCTTAAGTATTAGAGCTGCAACACAAACCCTAACCCCCTTCCTTCTTGTCAGTATATGAACTGGCTAACCCTGCCCCCCTCTTCCTTCGATCAAGCCAATTTTTGTTATGGGTTAATCTGGATACCAGCAAAAAAAGACATTTTGATGCAACCTGAGAATGGGACTTATTTGGAAATAAGCTCTTTGCAAAGATAATTGAGTCACAACTGGGTCATTGGAGCAAGATCTAGTCAATTTCTCCAGTGTCTTTATAAACGGGGGAAATTTTGATATAAAACATACAGGCATAAAAAGAAAGACAAAGAGGAGGCAGGGGAGAACACCAGGCCCAGCCAAGGAGTTCCTGAATGAGCTAGAGCAGTACATGAAGAAAGGAACCAATACCTCAACTACAGAATTCTATCCTCTAGAACTATGAGCAAGAAAATTCTTCTTTTAAAAAATATTTTTATTATTTTTATATGTATAAGTGTATTGTCTACATGTGTGTAGTGCACCCATGTTTACAATGCCTGTAGAGGTCAGAAGAGGGCATCAAATCCCCTGGAACTGGAGTTACAGATGGTTGTTAGCCTCCATGTGGGTACTGGGAATCAAACCTAAGTCCTCTGTAAGAGCAGTCTGTGCTTTTAACTGCTGAGCCATCTCTTCAGCCCCAAGAAAGTTCTTTTTAAGCTACTCAGTGGCACTTTGTTAAAGCAATATTGAAAATCAAATACAACCAGGAAGGATGGGGATGCTAAACCACTAGCTCTTCAGATGCCCTTACATCCAAGGGTGAGCGTGGAAAGTAACTGCCAACAGTGGTGTGTCGGTGGAAACCTGGTGATGCTGGTGGGGAAGTGTCTGCTATAGTGAGTGACAGGATATGGCAGTGGGTTCTGAGATCAGGAGGCGCAGAGGTCATGAAACCTCCCTCTGGTTCTTTGGAGACATCAAGCTGAGTCCAGCAGCACCTGCAGAGCCTCTGGACTATGAGATGTTCCAGCAGAGGCAGCAAGTCTTTAGTGTGCACAGCTAGCCCTTGGAGGGGTTTTGATTAGGTCTGGAGACACCTGTAGTGTCACAAATTGAGGATGGATGGAGGTTCAGTATGCTACTAACATCCTACATTGCCCAGGACACCACCAGACACACACAAACACACACACACACACACACATGATTTTCCAGTGCAGAGCTAGGTGTGATGGTGTACACCTATAATCCCAGCACTCAAGGGGCTAAGACAGGCAAGTCCCTCTCCTTAAAAAAAGACTAGTCCAAATATCAATAGTACTAAGAACCCCTGCTCTAAGATATAGTACAGCTTTTTTAGAGGAAGATTAAATTTTGCTAGAAGCAGAAATTCAAGGAACAAGTAGAAACGACTTACTGAAGAAGTGGGGGTGGTGTCCTCAGTTCTACTAAGAACTGCAAATCCAGGAGAGGGAAAATGGATAGCCCAGGGGTAAACAAGAAAAGCATTCTGCAGGTAGGAGTGGACATGAAGTGGACAGTGTGCCAGGCCAAGCCTGCCAGGCCTTCAGAGGAGATGACCCAGCTGCTGACAGCATGTAGCCATGGCAGCTGGCAGGGGGAGGCAGCCTCCTCAACAAACAGACTCATCAATTTGTAAAGCACCCATTCTTCAAAGACATTTCTAAGACAATATGCGAAATCCATTTTCTCCTGATTTTACTTGAAATGAGTCACATAAAACACCAGCTATATGCTTGATTTCAGGCTTTTAAATGGGAAGAGCAGCTATTGAAAAAAATTACAGGGTAAGAAAGGCAGACAAAGGCACTCAAACGACTCTGAATCGTTCTAATTTGGATGGGGAGTGGGGAACGCACAAGCAGCTTAACCAATTTATACCACTTTGCTTTAGAAAATAAACATATACATCATGCTGACAACTGCATGTCATGTTTCACATGCTGGAATTAAAACAATTTTAGAGGGAAAAGCTTAGAACTATAGAAGGGGAAGCAATCAAATAAATGACAAAAAAGCAACATTAGCTATCAAAAGACATATTTTACCATCTGAAGTACATAACTTCCTTAAGTTTTTCTTGGTTCTGTAAATAATTTCTTTTCTCAGGGGCTGGAGAGATGGCTCAGCAGTCAAGAACACTGACTGTTCTTGCAGAAGACCCAGGTTCGAATCCCAGCACCCACATGGCAGCTAACAACTGTCCATAACTCCAGTTCCAGGGGATCTGACAGCCTCTTCTGTCCTCCTCAGGCATTGCACAACACAAGTGCACTTACATACATGTAAGAAATACATGCATACACATAGAATAAAAATAATAAAACATTTTAAAATAATTTATTTTCTCAGTTGAATTCCTATATGTAAACTAAGTAACAAGAAAAACTAAGTTACTCTCAGAGATCTAAGGAGCTCTCTTGGCTAAAAGGGCCAAGAGACTTGTTTCCAAAGCATGTGTGAATTTTAGTTCCTGGTAGCTTAGGTTTTTTTTAATCATTACAGAAAATTTACAAATGCATCCCTAAACTATGCTTTTTTTTTTTCAAATAAATGTCATTGTGGGTCTGGGATGATGACTCAGTAGGTGAAGTGCTTTCCTTGTAAGCATCAGGACCTGAGTTCAATCCCCATAATCCACATAAGAAAAGCAGGGTATAGTGACATGTGTTTATAATTCCAGCAATAGGGAGGTGCCCACAGGCAGAGCCCTGGGGCTCTCTGGCCAGCCAGCCTAGCCTACTGGTGATTTCCAGGTCAGTGACAGACCCTATCTCAAAAAAAAAAATAGTGATGGCACCTAAGGAACACCTAAGGTTGACTTCTGACCTCCACACAAATGTACCTGCACACACGCACACACGCACACACACACAAAAAAGAAACAAAGGAAATTTTTTATGTAGATTTAATGGATACAAAGTGATGTTGTAAAAGTCATACACAGTAAAATGCTTACTATCTTAGAACAGATTAATGTGTATATAATCTCTCATCTGACCCTTTTTACTACAACATGGATAGACCTAGAGGACCCCGTGCTAAGTGAAAGAAACTAGACACAGAAAGAAAAATATTACACGATCTCACTTCCATGCAGAATCTTAAAAAGGAGGAGAAAGGTCAATCTAGATGGTTACAAGGGAGTTGCAGAAGGAGAGGACACAGGGAGAACACAAAGTTGCTGAACTGTGGACTGGAGACATTACAAGATGGAAGTGTACGTGTTTCTCCTTTTGAACAAGTCTGACATCAATACATCAATAGATGCTTATAATGGAATTATGCATGGAAGTTGGACACCATTTACTTTCAAACCTATTGATTAGGACATCAGTCATTTGGTTTGGGATTACTGAAACAGTCTGGACAGAAGTCAACTCTGCTGAGGAAAGCTTTATAAAAAATTAAAGTTGTTGGCAGTACAAATGACAAAAATCTGACAGGTATCTACCCCATATCTGAATTAATCCTTTTCACTGTTTATTAAATAGGTCTCTTAAATGGCTCTCCTGGGTACCAGCAGAGTAGGCAAAAGACAGAAGGAAGGAAAGAGATGGGAAAAGCGGCAAGAGCAGAACAGTTAATGTGCGTGGTTTCGATTCGCCATTGTGTTGAGAATCATATAACAGTTGCTGTCCATTGACTGCTTCTAATAAACAATAACCCTAGGAGGCAAATGCTGTTACCAGTCTAGAAGCTCATATCTGCAATTCCAAAATCTAGAGGGGGTTACTGGTAAGGCTTGGCTTGACCTGACCTGACCAACTGAGTGGAGCAGCAAACACTCACTAGAAATGGCTATTTACGGCTTCCATTCATCCCACCTGGAGTGGCTGGCAGATCTCACTGCGGTACCATGAGTGTGCCTGGCAATAGGATACACTCTAGAACCCCTGTGGAGGGTTGTGTGTTATACCACGTTGCTTTATTATATACTTACTTTATAAGCCCGGAAATATCCTGAATTCAAAGTGCCTTGGGGGAGTCTGGTGGTGCATGTCAGCGTACAACTCGTGTGTGCATGTCACATGTAACCCCAGCACTCGGGAGGCCTTAGAAAGCAGGAGGATTCCTGGGCATAGGAAGCCATCTTAGGCTACATAGTAAGACTGTCTCAAACCAATGCCTCCTCCCAAAAGGCACATTGAGCCTGAAGATTTTGTAGTTTTGAATAGGGATTGTGATCTTTGCACTAGCCTCTGAAAAGATGAGAAAGTAAAATTGCAGAAGCAAAGGTTGTAGCTCAGTAGTAGAGCATTTACCTGCCAGGTGTAAGAATCTAGGTTCCATCCTCAATATTGAAAAAAAAAAAAAAAAAGGAAGAAATTGTTGGGGCTAGAGAGATGTCTCAGTGTTAAAGTATTTGCTATACAAGCAAGAGGACCAAATTTGGATTCCCAGAACCCACATAAATGCTAATGCCAGTAGGTGTGATGGCTCACTTATAACTCCAGTCTTGGAAGGAGATGGAAATCTCCAGAGTGAGACTAACCATACTGGCAAGCTCTGGGTTTGACTGAGAGACCCTGCCTCAAAAGGTGAAAAAGCAATCAAGGATGATTCCTGACATCAATCACAGGCTGCCACAGGCACGTGCACACACATGTCCTCAGGAACATGCAAACAGGCATAGATGTGGAAGAGGGGGAGGAGAGGGAGGGCAGAGGAGGAACAGGAAAGGGGGAGTGGGAGGTGAAAAGAAAAAAAAAGAAATATGGTTGAAAATCTCAGAAGCCATCATTCCAGGGTCGTACCAGAACTTACTCCACCATGGGCAAGATCGTAGGACGGACAGGATTTAGTGAAGTAGATTGAACTCTATCACTTGACTGTTTCTTCCCAAACACAGTTGAAAGGGGCAAAGCACGTTTCAATCATACACTGATTCAGAGACACAGCTGTTGAGCATGCGAATGAATGCTAAGTCATAAGCAGCCATGGCCTACTCACCCTTTTCCTGCTCTCTTCCTGGTTGCCCAGCTCTCGAATCCTCTCCAATATGGCATCCTCCGTGGACCCAGCTATACCCAATCTGCTGTGAAGGAGCACTGCAATTTTCTCCCTAAAGGAGGAGTTCTGGCGGTGGCAGGCTGTGGCTGCATCCCGGCTGACCTTCAAGCTCATCTCCAGCTCCTGCGAGCTTTTCTTCAGTTGGTTCAGCTCCTGCTTGGCTGCATCCCAGACCCGCTGTCCAGCAAGCAGCCTTTCTTGAAAGATCTTAACTTCCCTTTCTAGAGCTTCTTTTGCCTCCACAGCACTGAGCAAGTCCTGAAATAATTGGAGAACAGAGGCAGTAACAAGGTACACCTGCATTTGACCTTGCTCGCCAATGACTCCAAGAACTTAGGGTTAAGTGCATATTACAATTTTAGCTCTAACTTCCATATCATCTCTCCAGAAAAATCATTAAATTCCAAAGGCAAAGCAGGCATTAAAAATTGTTTGAAGACCTTGTGATATAGATCAGTTGGTAGAGTGCTTACCTAGCATGCTCAAAACCCACTGATCCCCACCATGGTGATGCATACCTGTAATTCTAACACTCAAGAGGTAGAGCAGAAGAATCAGAAGCTTCAGGTCATCCCCAGCTGCCTGGCAAGTTTGAAGCCAGCCTGGATGGACTACATGGGACCCTGACTCAAAAAAATTATTTGAATAAAGATGCTGCTTTAATCCTGCTTTTAAAAGTAGAGTATCAGGGGCTGGAGAGATGCCTCAGCAGTTAAGAACACTGGCTGCTCTTACAAAGGACCCAGGTTCAGTTCCCAGCACCCACATGGCCGCTAACAACCATCCGTAGCTCCAGTCCAGGGAATCCAATGCCCTCTTCAGGCCTCCACAGGCTTTACATGCAGGGGTGCACTTGCAAACATGTAGGCAAAACACTCATACATAAATAAGATAAAATAATAAAATGAAAAATAAATCCAAAACATTTTTTAAAACTAGACCAGTAGTCTCTTAAAGTCTCTTTAAAACTAGACCAGTAGTCTCCACAAAGGAGAATAGAATCTTTGTTCCAGTTCATGGACTGTCTGTTTCTTATCTCAAAAACACAAAATCAAAGTGGCTAGAGGCTGAAGAAGGGCGACTGAAAGAGTAGCTATTTGGTCATCAGAAAGCTTAAAAGTAGGAAATAAGACCCATTCTTAGGAGAATAATCTAAAGAACATCATATGCATAAATAGATTCAGAAAAACAGCACAAGGTATGGAGGAGGCGTGTGCCTGCTTCTATTTACAATATTTTAGAATGGATCCCAAGAGGCACCAGGGATACCTTTCAAATTCATTTTTTAAAACAGTTGTTAACATCAAGGTCTAAAACTCATGAATTCACAACAAATAAGATCAAGCAACTGATTGACCTCCACTGCTATACAATACTGCTCCCTAGTTAAGTGGCAAAAGGATTTTGTTTTTTAATTTAAACCAATATGTTAGGAGTAAAAGGTACTAAAAAGAAACAATATCATTGAGCCATTGGCTACATTCAAGTAGGCCAGTAACATTTCAGGCACTTAAATTAAAGTTAAAATCTGGTCATCTGCTTACATTAGAACTGGTCTTTAAAAGGAATCCACCCCCATCAACTGCTAGGAGACAGGAAAAAAGCTAACCGAAACACAACTTAAAGAAAACATAACATCCTCCCTTTTTTCTTATGGTGATCCTCTAAAAAAAAAATAAAGGAAATCTCAAGCATCAATTGGAAAGAAAAGTCATCCAGAGGAGAGGTAGTTAGAGAAGTCTGCTCTTTCCAGAGATGTAATAACCCACTATGAAGCTTATTTCATAAAAACGCTTTGTTCTTCAAGGCGTCGGTTCCCCTTCTCTTTCTAAACTAGTTATCTCTGTAGAGAAAAGCCCACTGCAGCTGCTAATTAAATCATGACCCTTAAAGAAGAGTTGAGGACTCCTTATCAAAGATATATCTTTATCACTTACGATTTCTCTTCAGATGGGAGAACAATGGTTGTTCACTTGCACAATTTTGGTTACTAGTGTCAGCACTGGTGACAATCAAGCAGACTCACATTTTACTCAGAAAACTGAAGCCCTAAATTCAATGATGCAAGGATGAAAATTAACCCTAATCACGTCAGGGTTCTAACACCATATGGTACATTACATGTCAACTTTTATATGGAAAGAATCTCCCCCCACCATGCAAAAGCAGAAAATTTTCATGGTCAGTATTATTATTTGAAAGCAACTATTCACAAAAAGCCTGTAAGATACATTTAAAAAAAAAAAAAAAAAAAAAAAAAAAAAAAAAAACTACCAGCTGGGCGTGGTGGCGCACGCACTCAGGAGGCAGAGACAGGCGGATCTCTGTGAGTTTGCTCAGTGGGCAGCAGCACCTACCACCAAGCCCAGGGACCCAAGTTCGATCCTGTAGTACCACATGATAGAAAGAGAGAACTGACTCCCCAAAGTTGTTCTCTGACCTCCATACACATACACATTCCATGTATCCTCCCTCCCACATACACACAAAATAATTAAAATGTAACTTTTTAAGAATTTCAATCTATGGGGCTGGAGAGATGGTTCAGTGATTAGGTGGAGGCTGTTTTCCAGGCGGCCTAGGCCTGCTGGTGAGGCACAGTCCAGCTGATATTAAAAATGGACACTGAGGGGCTAGGTGTGGTAGTGCACGCCTTTAAGCCCAGCACTTGTGAAGCAGAGGCAGGCAGATTTCTGTGAGATTGAAATCAGCTTGGTCTGTGTAATGAGTTCCAGGCTAGCCAGGGCTAGCTACATAAAAAAAAAAAAAAAAAAAAAAAAAAAAAGATACTGAAGTATAATAGATTTGCTGGTAGGTTAATCAAATGTCATCTAACAAACATAATTAAAATATCTCTGCTTTGAGGAATTTTTCTATCCTAGTATCACACTATTATTTCACTAACTTAGAAATAAGACCCCCTCCATAACACCCCAACGAAAGCAAAGCACTGTGTCTTTTTAGACCTAAGCGCCCACCCTAATGTCTAATAAAAATAACAAAAGTAGTTTGTGGTCACAGGACACAGAGGTACTTGCTAACAGGCTGCGTCTCTTTTTCCTGAGTACTTTCAGCTGTTTCTATACGACATGAAGGCACCAGAGTGAGTGGCAGACCTTGGGGACAGCTGCTCCCCAGCGCTCTGATTAGTCACTCTGGGATTCAGGGGCACTGCTCTGCTGGAAATAGATGTCCACAGACTACAAATGCAATTACCTGGACAGCTCCCAGGAGCAAGCCACCAGACTGGAGTGTGGCTGCATGGCTACTCAAGGATACACTGAAGCACAAGACAGAAGGTGACATGGGCATGGCTGGCCAGGACCTGGTGACTGCTGTCAGACCACACTGACACAGAATGAGAAACAAGTAGCTTCCTCCCAGAAAACTTAGAGCCGACCTCCACTGAGGAATCACATCTGCAAATGAGGGCAGGCCCTGGGCAGAAGGCAATGCCAATGCAATCGCTTAAAAGGTTTTTTTAATAATGAACAAATCTGTCCGGAGCCCACATCCTGCTCCTTTTTAGCTGCAGTCACTGGTCCGGGACCAGGCTCCGCCATGCCCAAGTGCCCCAAATGTGACAAGGAAGTGTGCTTTGCTGAGCAAAGTGACTTCACTGGGTAAGGACAGACATCAACCCTGCCTGAAGTGTGAGAGACCGGAAAGACGCTGACGTGCCTGGGCCATGCCCGGCATGAAGGGAGCCCTACTGCAACCATTCCTGCTACCTGGCCAGCACACAACTGTCTGTGTCTCTAGTTCAGGGGGATCTGATGCCCTCTTCTGACCTCTGCAGGTATTGCGTGACACAGATATACTTACAAACATGCAGGCAATACACCCATACACATAAAAAGTAAAATAAAGAATACAGTTACATATCACTGAGTGGCACTACACCTCTGCAGAATAATTAGGAGAACTATCTACAGAAATAGGACTAAAGATAGGTTTTGAAAACACAGTATTTATTTTACTACAAATAAATATCTTGGCCTTGCTGAAATTGCCTTAAACTCTATTTTAAGCAAGCATAAGGGTGCACACCTATAATCGCAGTACTCAGGAGGCTGAAGCAGGAAGATCACAAGTTTGAGAGCTACATAGTTAAGAGTCAAAAGGAAGATCAAGAAACCCAGTCTCAAGAAACCTCTGTAAGACTGGTTTGCTTCTGAAAGTTTCTTTTGTTGTTTTGTTTTGCTTTGGTTTTTTGACAGAGTCTCTCTAGCTGTCCAGGAACTTGCTATGTAGATCAGGCTGTCCTCTAACTTATAGTGATCTTCCTGTCTCTGCCTCTCCAGTCCTAGGATTACAGGAGACTGTGCTACCATATCCAGCAACTTCTATAAATGTTCTAAAAGCTAAGTATACCTCTCCTATAAGCAGCACTATCATCAATTCAACCAAGATGACCTCAGTTAACAAACCAGAAGCCATCTCATGGCTACAGTCAAACTTCAAATGCTGGCACAAATCACAGACCTTGTAAATGTGCTTGTACCTAGCTCTTCAGCATGGGGAATTTCAGTTGTAACTAGTTCAGATATGGCTATAAAACCAGCCTATGAATTTGACAGAGATCCTCTGTACTAATGTGTATACATACTTTCAAAGTATGATGGGTACAGTTTGTGTGATCATTTTCCCTGTGCTTATTCTCATTATAGTAACTGGATTTTCATTTTGTCTGTGATTTCTAACTTAAAATTTGGTCTCATGCTTTATGTAGTATCGGTTAATTTTTCTACTGATGTGGTTTTTCTACTTATAGAAGTATTAGTCCAAAGTTGATTAGAAAAAAAGAACAAGTTAGGCCTCTGCACTCACAGTTTGAAAGAAAGCTAAAATGCATTGAGCACATAGGAAGAACGGTGAATTTGAAGTCATGTTTTGGGAAAGTTTTTTAAGAGAGGGAGAGAGAGAGAGAGAGAGAGAGAGAGAGAGAGAGAGAGAGAGAGAGAGAGAGAGAGAACAGAGTTTTTAAAAACTTTCCACAGAAGTTTCCAAGTAATTCAAAGAAGGCTACTATTCAGAGGAAGACTGGCTGTGTCCTGCTTAAACCCTCAGTCAGTGAGGTAGAAAGTGCCTTTCCCAAATCTGAGCTGTCACAAATGGTATCACAGACTTTGGAAAAGGCGAACTCAGCTGAAGTTTAAAACTCTCATTATTGGCAGACTTGAGAGTGGTTGCCTGTGGATTTATCTGCCCTCAGAAACTCTTGTGTCACTGGGTTGTGTTGTAGAGCTGCAAACATT